TGCACGACCGTTACGCCTTGTCAATACCTAATAAAAAATGGACTGTTCCGTTTCGATGGCGTGCAAACAGGGGAAAAGAGTCTACTTGGTTTCAGTGAGAAAATAAAAGAAAGAAAGAAAGAAAGAAAATCGGATTAAGCTGATAAGAGCAGAAACTACACTTTGATCTTAAAAAAAGCCGAGAAAGTTGGAACTAGTGGAACAAAGGAGTGTAGTTCGCATGAGCATTTTCCATGGCCGTAACGATTGAGCAGTGAGAGACGTGCGGCGTTTCGTCTGCGAGAAAGGGTTGGAAAAATAATTTATCACCCACAAGGACGCGGCGTGGCTTCTGATGTTCTCTCGAGCGTGGCAAATGAAGACTGTGTAGTTCCCGTCTAAATATGGCGGCAGTACTCCATTTTTGACCTGTACTAATGATATCTTACTAAACTAGCACGTTAACCATTACACCATATGAAAAAAAATGAAACCTGATGCCCGTCCTGGGTATGACAATAAACTACATCCATGTCCTGGCTAAGACGATAAGCTACGTCCAACATCAAGGCCTCTGATCAGGAGGTTTTGAGGAGCGTGAACCCACCTCTTACATCCTGGTGTTCTCCAAATAGTTAACATCCAAATTGGGGTCAAAACGTGTAAAAATAGGTTTAATGCTAATAATACATTTTTGTAAAAATATTACCAGCAATGGATTTTTGAAACAAGAAAAATTATTACCAGCAATGAATTTTTGAAAGAAAAATTATTAACAGCAATACATTTTTATATGAAATTATAAAAATAGGTTTTAATACCAACAATCATTTTTTGGAAAAAAATTTACCAGCAATTCATTTCTGAAAAAAAATATTACCAGCAGATAGATAGATAGATAGATAGATAGATAATCAGCAATAAAAATATTGTCGGCATTAAATAACCCATTGAGGTGTTGATATGCCGTAAAACAAAACAAACCAAACCAATATATACTGAGATAGATAGATAGATAGATAGATTACCAGCCATAAAAATCTTGTCGGCATTAAATAACCCATTGAGGTTGATATGCTGTAAAACAAAACCAATCTAAACCAAAGAATACATATTCTATTCATACGAATCTATCCTAAAAATGTTGTCGGCATTAAATAACCCATTGAGGTGTTGATATGCCGTAAATCAAAACAAACCAAACTAAACCTTACGTAAGAACGCATTTGTGATAACCCAGTAATTATTAAACACAATGCAGGAGTTATTGCTCGAAAGGATCAAATGTTTGACTAGTGACAAACAAAAACCAAATGTCTTCATTTTTGTTTCCAAAAATATTGAAGACATTGGGGTTTTGTTTTACATTGGTCTAGTTCAGTCATTGGTCATTTGCATCAAACACTTTCACCCGCTTCAAAGAATTTGACGTATTCCAATGAATGATTTCTTTAAATTCAAGCTGCATTGGAACCATGAAATGTTATCACCTTGTACCTTAAGCAAATTAGATTTAATTACAGAGAAACGAAATGATGTTTGAATATAAATATAGATTTAGTTACGTTTCTTTCCTTCGGGACCAATAAAACGGCAGATGAATTTTGTAAAAATAAAAATTTAAATACATTTGAAATGAAAAAAGTTAATCCCATTTTTTAGTATTATATCAGCTACTGCCCTAGATGAACAATTGGTGTATACGTTAGTGCAGTGTTTCACAACCTTTGGAAGCAACGGCACACTTAGGAGCAAATGTTATTATCACAGCACACTTAGAAAAATTTTTAAAGGGTATACATTTAAATACGAAATAAAAGCATATTTTTTTAAAAATATACACACAAATATGAACTTATTTTATTTCAATGTAACGATTCAGATATTCAGTACAATTAATGTCATTTTCAATTTACACAAATTTCAGAGTAATTTAATTTTAAAACAATGGAAAAAATATTAAACGAAATGCTCAGTGGTGCATATTGGAAACTTCGACAATATTGATTCATAATTCAATATAACTTTTGAATTAAACAAATAATGTTGAATACAATAATATGAATGAAAAGTTAATATTCAGTTATTAGAAAAAAATTTAAAAACAAAAAAAATACTTTTTAAAAAATTAACATTAAAACAAAGTATTTAAAATAACATAATCGAATAGGGAAAAGAATTATTTGAAAAAAAAAGGTTTAACAATTATTAATTTCTTCAAATAGAATCACCGAACAATTACTACTGCCAAACACACACACACACACATATACATACATATATATATATATATATATATATATATATATATATATGAAGGCCGTGACAATTAGCAAAATGTTTAAAGGGTATGCAGGTAAATGTTATGAAATAAAAATATAGATTTAAAAAATAAATACACACAAATTTATTTCAATCTTTCTATTCAATTATTTGTGAAGATTATTTAGTGTAAAACCTATGCCTGGTGTTTATTCACGATATCTTTTTGTTCGAATATGCAGTAAGCAGGCTCTCATTT